AAAGCCAGCCGCGATTCATGAAATCTTTGAGGTAGAGGAGGAGGAATTGTCTGTGGAGGAGGACTCGGAAAACGAGGAGGCCTAGGGGAAGACTCTGCCCTAGGTGTATTCGCGCTTGAGATTGAGGAGACGGATGCCAACAAAGGATAAAGTGTATACAGCTTTTGAATCAATTGCTAGAACTAAAACCGTAGGTACGAAGAAATCAAACTAAAGAGAGAAGAGAATCTGAAAGGAGCGAAGTTATTTAAGTTGTTCCAATGCCAAGTCTCGTCACGTGCTCGGCCAAGCGAATGAAATCCTGTCAAATGAAATCCAGCTCCGTCACAACTTTCTCTTCTTCTTATTCTTAGGGGTAGGGGTAGGATTTATAGTAGTAGATAGTAGTAAGAAGTTTAGTAAGAATAAGAGTAGTTAGATTTAGTTAAGTTATACTCTTACGTTGAGTTATATTAGAGGATAATAAGTAGTAGAAAAAGTAGTAGTATAATTAATAGTATAAGTAGTAGAAAAAGTAGTAGAAAAAGTAGTATAAAAAGTAGTAGTATAACTAGTAGATTTATTTATAAAAGTAGTATTTATTCTAAGAATATTACTATTATTTTAGAGATTAGTTATATATATTTAAATACTCTTAATTTCGTATATAATTCGAATATATTATAAGTAGTTGTTGGTACGACCTGGTGGTCGTGACGACGGCGAATACGGGATTCAGGTCACCTTCTCTTTGGAGGTAACTAAATCGGTGTATTCATTTGTTCGTGAAGAGTAAAGGTAGAGAGATGTGGTGCTCTACGAGCTTAAGTATGTGAGTGGCAAGCCACTCACATGACACCAAGCATGTAGAACCACCAAGCTCTCGTACGAGGTGCTAATCACCATAATTATATACCGACAGTAGTATTATTTATAGATTTCTATATAAGTTATTATTATTAGTTATATAGTATAGTACTACTAGTACTAGTATAATATAATACTACTATTTATAGTTTATTAAGTATAAAAATAGGAATTTTAGCTAAATAACATTTAATTCGAATTATCTAAATAAGACTCCGATTTAAGCGAATAGAGTTTTTACGAGTTTTATAAATCCTAGAGTACGCTACCGAATAATCGAATTCACCCCAATTTAAGCCGAACAGGCCATTAGGATTTTCAGGCTAACTACCATGGTGGTTGGAATCACTAACCCGAACTCCCACTTGTACGAACATAATTATTAGAATAATTAATAGCTTAACAACCAACGGTCGAAAACACTCCAATTTGATTCTAATATACTCAGTCAATTGTAAAATAGTAGATTCACGATAAATTATTAAATAAAATCGTTGATTAATGTCTATCATTCGGGTTGGTGGGAGAGTCTTAGAAACAAATTTTAATCGAAAACTACTAAATTCTGATTGGTCGAAAAGTTCTTACGTAATCATAAAACAACAAAACTCGACCACTCCATAAGGATATCTTTTTATATATACGCTAAGGCTAACTAGTACTCATCCCAGAATATTCATCCGCGCCAAGCTTATCGAATCCACCACCCAAGCAAATGATTCTCACAATATTTAGCCAAACAGAAACACATGACTGTATCTCGCGAACACCCACTAACAAAAATAGGAAGAAGAAGGACGTGGACTAAACCTACTCTGGTAAGTAGCTATCGAGCGCTTATCTGTGGGTGGCGCAGGATATATGGCCGTATCAGCCATGCCTAGGCAATGTTGATGAGTATGAGAGATCTGATTTCGATAGAAATGGATTGTAAAATGACTCTGTAACACAATGGTAAATCGGAAGGCAGCAATTTAACAGGATCGATGATTGTGAGATTTTGAAGGATCAAGATACCAGAAAGAACGTTTCATAAATGAAGCAGCAAGGCAGTTCAATACCTACATCTTGTTACAGCCTCCCCCAACTGAATCTAAATCTGTCAGCATGGCAGGACCAGGCCTGAAAGAAAGCTGTAACACTGCGTGGGGATTAAGCGAGTTGAAGATGGATTTGCTCCGAAGGCGTGAGGTGAAGTGTTTAGAAAAAAGGAAAGGGAAGAGAACAGTCTTCCTCGAGAACGTTTCCCACAGTTGCACTACGGGAAAGGAACTTGAGAATACATTTGGAACCGGAACAAGTCAAAGAGCCGGGGAGGAATGCGCTGGGTATGATATGAATACTTCAAACCCTACTAGAAGAGCTCGAAGAACCGGGCCGCGCATGTGCAACAAAGCACTCTTTCTACTTGAACACAACTTTCGGTTATTGAAAGAGGCGACATACCGAGATGAACATGACAGAGTCAAACATTTTGTACTAACGTAATCGTCCTAACATCTTTCGTGGGACAAAACCCGGCCGAGGGAGAGGTCCGATGTGATCACAAGCTCGAAGCGAAAACATCAAACCAATTACCAGATAAACTTCCCCCCTCGTTAATTTACTGGAGACAAGTATAGCACCCCATACAGTAATTCTTATGCTATCATCCTATGGTTGCAGGGGCAGTCGGAACCCCTATCACCGATATCATCGGATGACTTGAAGGATGTTTCAACGGATGAACAGGTTTGATTCAAGAGACGCGGCGATGCGCTTCATTGTTTGTGAAACATTGTCCAAGAAACAAAAATGTGGGGATGAAGAAATTTTCGAGGGAAACTTCACGGAACAAGAGGTGTTCTCCAGTGCTTCTGCGTTTGGAATTGCCCGTGCGGTGGGGTGAAATGTCGGCAACATTGCAAATTCGACAACCAGAAATTGCCGCAGTTGCAAAGTGACAAAGTCAAAGGGTGGAAGGAAGGACTCCCAAGTGTCAGGCTACGAAAGATGTTTGAAGAAGGCATTTACCCACGACTCCAATAATAGCTGCGCATCTACAAACTTTATGAACTAATCGGGTTATCGCTTTGTTTCGATCGACCTCGTGGTTTAGGTACCGTTTAGCTCAAGCGACGACAAAATGCGCTGTATGAGGCTACAAATAACATCTCATCTCGTGGGGATGCTGAGTGATCGTCTAATAAAAGTGTTCTGCCCCTCCATCTCATCGTCCGCAAGCTGGTCTCCAACACTTGATGTTTAAAGACCCAAGTGACCACGAGATTGTGCACAAATCAAGCCTGTCGTGCAGCGTTTCATGTTTGTGAATTTCGCCGTTCCCCTGCAGCGATTTTGCTTACGTTCCGAACTGCTGGGAGATGCTTGCGCTGATTGGCCTGTAGCCTACGGGGGTGGCGCCAATTGAATCGGATATTGTATGGGGTAAAAGGTGGGCCGATCAGATTTTCTGATGGGATTCGATATCATGGAATCAAATCCAAGAAAGCCCATGCGACGGGGTTTCTGGGATTCCGAGCCTCATCCAACGAACAATGCCTCTGTCTTTGACACCTCTGATAGGTGATGCGATTTAGTTATCACAGAGTGAGAGCGTTTGAGAGTTTGCGGAACGTTGGTCAGGGCTCTGTCAATGGTTCAAAGTTCATCCTTACACCAGAAGAACTGTAACAATACGCATTCGCCCGTTTGATTAGACGGGTTCCTTTTAAGGCGCGGCTAAAGGTTAAGATGGCAGGTGTATAAGAGTACGCATTGGGCACCTTTTATTTTCCTCATTTCAGCCCCAGCTCCACACATCTCCGTCCCCATATCTTGACGATACAGTCTCTTTTTCTATTCATTGTTCGCCTAGTACAGTTCACTTCTTTTCATCTTTATATTTTTCTTGTGCTTTGGAGGCTGGCCCTATTTGTCTTTGCTTCAATTCTACAATACCCGATATTTTTATACCACCTTGCTAGAACGCCATCACTTCATATATCAACTACACACAATCTTCAACAATCAAAATGCAATTCTTCAAAGGCGCCATATTTTTTCTCCTCACGCTAGGTGTCTCCGCCTTACCAACCGCAATCGAATCCAACTACGAAAACCTAACAGACACCGACCTCGAGAATAGAGGTACCGCAGTCAACCCAGCCCTCGTTCCAGTTTTCAAAATCCAGCCTGGTTCCGGAGTCGGCGCAAACAATGTTCCAATTCCCAAAGACTGCCCGCCAGCTCGCGCCGAATTCATACAAAAGCTTAGCGCAAATGTCGCAGCAGGAAATGTTCTGGGCCAAAGGATAAATTTCAACACCGATATAAAAGTCACAGATGTCAAGACGCAAAAGGATCGTGCTACAGCTATGATCATCACATTACAGAGTTTCTCTGGGACGAAGGGTGTTGGATGTCCGGGGGCTAGTACACCGGAGTTGACCGAGCTGCAGAAGACTGGGATTCAGTCACCTGCTTGATGTGGTTTTGTTGATGAGTTTTGATTCGTGTACATTTCAAGATATTAGGGACGGCTTTTCTGGGAGGGGCTTGGGGGTTTTAAGAGGTTTTAAGGAGTTCAACGTGCTCAAGGTATTTATGGAGCTGGATTTTGGGGTATACCACTCTGGATGTGGTGAAAGGACATGGAAGTTGAAGTTGCTTTCGGAGAGAAATTCAAATTACTTTTCCATTCACCTGCTGCCGCTCTCCCCATTCTTGAATACCTTCTTGATTTCTATTTTCCCAAGGTAACTTCCGTGTAAAGAAGTAGCAACTGGCTCTCCAATGAAGGCAAGACTTTATAATTTCCAGAGAGACAACAACCTTATCATTTGCCATATTCATGGTGGGCAGGAAGGAGGCTAGTCAAGAAATTATCTTCCATCCTACCTAAGCATCTCACTCGATAATCCGATTTAGATTTGTCTACTCAATCCGAGAGATTCCAAGGCAACGAAAGATGATAGAACCACCCCTGCGAAATTTGGCAGCAAACAGCCCAAATTTCATCGTAACCCAACATGAAGTTTGTGGTTATTCTTTTCATTCATTTTGAAGAAGCTAAACAATTACTGTCATCGATCATCCAAGGACAACAAGAAGGATCATTCGAAAACGGTTGCGTCGATTACTCAGAATTGGTTTGGGAGGAAGGTTTGCCGAAAAATAGTTTACTTCCACTTTTCCTGTCCACCAGGGACTCTGCCATTTGCTGCCGCTTGCCGTGCAGTATCGTCGATTCCTTCTTGGTTGGAAATGCAGTATTGTTTCAGGATGAGATACGAGTGCAGTAGGAGATCGGATTTTAGCCGTTGACGGATCTACCCCGCCACAACCCCACTTTCCTCCTCAAGCATCCAACATAAAAGTTGGCAGACACAGAACCTCAACAATCTCATACGAAAAACTTCTTCAGAACATATCATTGAACTGACTAGCAAGACTCTTGATCATCAATTTTCGATCACAAAAATGGCGTACAACCTGAAGTGGGGAATTCTAGCTACTGGTGGCATTGCAACAAGTAAGTTACAGTAAACCTAGATATTCACATACAATTATTACTAACACCACCCTTCAGCATTCGCAAAGGACCTTCTTACCAATCCCGCTACTCGAGGCGTGACAGATGTAAGCCACACCGTTGCCGCAGCCGCATCCTCCTCATCGCAAGCTCGAGCCCAAGAATTCCTCACTTCCATTAAAGCCCCTACATCTGCGAAAGCATATGGCAGCTACCACGAGCTCGTCAAAGATCCAGATGTCGATATCATATATGTGGCAACACCACACTCTCATCACTTTCAGAACTGCATGCTCGCTCTTGAAGCAGGCAAACATGTTTTGTGTGAAAAGGCATTTACAGTCAATGCAGAACAAGCACGGGTGTTAGTCAAGAAGGCCAAGGAGAAGGGCCTTTTTCTTATGGAGGCAGTATGGACTCGATACTTTCCTCTTTCCATCAAGATCCGAGAAGTGATACAGGAAGGAAAGATTGGAGATTTGGTCAGAGTTAGTTCAGATAACAGCTTCAATTTGGTCGGAAATCCCGACGCTTGGGGTCTTGGTGAAGCCGGTGACAAGAATCGTATGGTGAACATGGACTTGGCTGGAGGTGCTCTTCTCGACCTGGGAATCTATTCTCTGACATGGGTCTTCCAAATCCTATACTTGTGTCAGAAGATGGAGGATCGGGAAAGACCAAAGGTTTTGGCTGCTGTGGATCAGTATCGCACTGGCGCAGATGAAATGACCAGTATCATTTGTCATTTCCAGAAGAACAGAACCATGGGAGTGGCGAACACAGGACTCAAGGTTGCGACCCAAATTGCTGGGGAGAACTCGTCCTCCGCTGGCCCAGCTTGCAGGATTCAAGGTACCAAAGGCGAAATCCAAGTCACAGGTCCCTTGTACAGACCACTGAAATACAAGGTCATATTACCTGGTGGCAAGGAGGAAGAGGTAAACTGTCCAATTCCTAAAGATCCCGAAAGAGAAGGCGCAGATGCTGAGGGATGGGGTCATGGTATGTTCTGGGAAGCCGATGAAGCTGCAAGATGTCTAAGGGATGGAAAGAAGGAAAGTGACACTCTGACTTTGGAGGAGAGCGTGGTGATCATGGAGACCATGGATGAAGTCCGAAAACAGGGCAACATTGTCTACCCAGAGACGATTGAGAGTACAGTTTACGATGAGAAGAGCCCTCTGAACGGAAATAACTGATGTCATAAAAGTTTTTAGTCACTCATTTTAGCATTTTGCAGTCCAAAATAACCGTTCATTGCAAGGACACAACACAACTTTTTCGAGGAAAAACTTTCTTCGAAATTCATCAATCTCTTTACACCAATCGATAGCAGCTAGAATTTCAACCACTCCCCCCTCCTCCTAGGAGGTCTACTCCTCTGGTAGCAGAGATACATCCCTCAAAAGATCACGTGAAATTTTTTTCACCCCCCCTTCATAACCTCAATCAACCCTACCACTGCCAACACCGCTACTATGGCAGTCCATGTACAATCAAACTTAGAATGGGAACAAGATATCATAGAAGGAACGGCCTATGAGCCTATGCAACTCGTCAACGAGCCCACGCTCCCCACCAACCCAGTGTACCCAACTATCATACTGGGAACCCCAANCCCATGTACAATCAAACTTAGAATGGGAACAAGATATCATAGAAGGAACGGCCTATGAGCCTATGCAACTCGTCAACGAGCCCACGCTCCCCACCAACCCAGTGTACCCAACTATCATACTGGGAACCCCAATCCCCCAAACCCCCAGCACCAACGGACAAGATCACCTCCTAGCAC